GTCCCTGAAGAATTCCCTTAACAGGGAAATGTGTCGTCGGATCGTAACTGAGGGATATACATGTACTTAAAAGCAGTACATTATTCACTACAGGCAAAAAGGCAAATACTTTATTTTTAAAACTTGTGAGCAAATACACAGCTTGTATGCACGGTGGTTTAGTTTGACCAATTGCACGTCACGGGCCGCCACACGGAAATCAAATTTTTGAAAGAGAAGTGAATAGAGCGCAATTTCAAGTTATGGAGGCTGTATTTTCTGCTGCAACTGAATATAGTCTTCTTCTGTACGATAATAATGAGATACGCACAGCGTATTAGCAGCCACTGGAAACCATTAGAGGTCATGTTACGATGTCCACTGCCCACTCTGCGAGGGGGTTAAGGTCACGAGAGTCCCACAGACTCAAAGAACCAGCTGACAGCAAGGATCCTCTCTGTTACCAAACGGACCATAAAGCTTGACCGAAATTGACCAGAGTCCTTCAATACAACACCACGTGTCATGTGTCACTTCGATTCACCCGAGGAGAAACATTTCAGCCGTATCGTTTAGTTTTTTTAAACCAGCAGTCAAACCCCTTCCATGAACTAAATGACTGACTGGTTTACTTTATAAATCTGGAAAACTAAACTTTTAGTGTACTTTTCAAGAGCACGAGGGCCTGATTCACTGCGTGTCATGTGCCGGTATAACATGATCGTGGGCTCGGAGACATGCAGCTACTTGTCGCAGGCAACTCTTCTTCTGGTCGGATTGAGAATGTTGCTCATACACAGACACCAGTGGCAACAACATGTGACGGCAATACGCGGAGCGGAACGATGACAGCGCGCACAGGCGCACCAACACCATCTAAGATTTCAGGGCCATTACCAAAAGCGGACGAGAACCAAAATGATGGGGAATATAAGACCGAACATTTAGTGTATTTTTAGGAATAAGAGTACCGGCTAGGTTGACGTGTTTCCAGAAGCTTTTGATCATGTGCCTGCGTGCGCTTTGCTGTAAACCTCTGCTCCTGTGAACTGTAGCCTGCTCTCGTTGTGATGGGCCGACTTTGTTATTATTATTATTATTATTATAAAACACATTAACTGCCATTTTACTAAAAACGACGCGCCTCGTTTAACAAAGTTGCCGTTTGACGACTCGAGTTTTAAAGACTCAGAACTCCCACATGGACCATCTCTGTGAATCCAGTTTAGGGCTTATCCCCCCCCCCCTACTCCCCCACACTCCCGCGGCGCGTTGCCGTTGACGCCGATTCCCGTAAAAGTTTCTCACAGTTGACCGATGTCGCCCCTTTTCCACGACACTTGTCCGTCTCACGTCCCACGCGACCGGCGTTAAAGTGCCCGCGAAAATTGCCATTTGTAGCCCTGTCTCGTCAACAACCTCGCGGCCCGGAGAAAGAGAGATACGTAGAGAGATAAAGATAACGTCTCCGGTCTCCCTAATCCCCCCCCACCCCCCTCCTCACCCTCCCACCTCCCCTGTACGTCTCCCTCTTTGCGCTCTCCTGCTCTCGCGCGCCGGGGCCACAGTGCCGCTGTCGCGCTCCGCAACATTGTTTCTATTTCCGTTACTCACCTTTACTCCGAACTCGGTCGCCGTGTATAGACACTCTATATCGGTGGCTCCAGTGGATAAATGTAATTTCAGTTCACCATTACGCGCTGACTGCTATTTTAGGGGGGGGGGGGGAGCTGACAAACTCAGAAAAAGGCAGTCTCCCTCTTGTCAGCGACGGGCTCCTCCCCTTTTATGACGAACTGTCCTCTCTCGCTCCCTCGCTGTCTCTCTCTCTCTCGCGCGCGCTCTCTCTGTCTCTCTCTCACGCACGCACGCACACACGTCACAACGTTAGAATAAGTGTTACACATGTAAATAAAAACGTAAAAAACACAAATAAAGTGAGAGTACATCTGAGGCTACTTAAGTTGTGCCATATTTAACTGTTCGTAGCTTTTACGCGACGTTTTCTGTTGTTGTTCTGCTGTCGTTCGACTCGTGTCTTAATCATTATAACAACAACTTTTTTTCCAGACAAGCCCTGGGGATGAGTCAGTTCCAGCATAAAACAGACTAAACTATGGCAAGAAGAACTACAAAAACACACATTACAACCTTCTAAATCATAGACAAGAACGATATGTTTTCTTCAAGACTGACTTAACATTAGGATAACTTACTTTCCATAATGACTTGGCCTCATCACGTTAGACACACGTGTGACGTCACAAGACAACAGCGATGGAATTTGGTTTAAAGGGCACTTCCCGTAGCCAATAAGCATCGTCAGCATGGGGGTTGAGGCGGGACCAGGGTGGTTTGCGCATGAGCGTGTCACGTGTATGAGCAGGATCATAGGAAGGGACTGTCTACACTGGCGTTTGGAAGCAGGTGCGTTAGAAATTAAACACAATTATCATCCTCTGTTTCAGTTTTTTTTATATGAATGGCAGACACGTGTGGCCAGTTTTAGATCGAGTAACTACATGCACATGGGAACATTTTATAAATAAATCTGGCAGTTCAGTGGCAAGTTAACAGGATCACCTGTTCCACAAACGTCATGAAATGTGTTACAAAGTACTAAGGCACATTTATTTCATTTTTTTTCAAGAATTTAAAATTAAAAACGACGTAAAGGTACATTCTTTTGACACCTAGTTATTGTTGCTTAAGATTGCATTCATGTTTATAAAATAATAATATAATAATAATAATCATTTTTGTACAAATCTAGAAAAAATCTAATATAGCAAACACAAAAGGGCTAAATTTGCCTCCCTAATAACTTTTTTTCCCCTTGGTAGTTTGCCTACATTTTGCATACAGTTCCTTTGTTTACTCAAGTTAAATGTTTATAGCAGGGCTTTGAAGTACACGGCAGTAACTATTCTTTTGAAATGAATACTTCCACTTGAGAATTCCTCCTCTAATGGCATCCTTTTACATTACGCTGCATGCTCACTGAAGTAGGGAAGGAGTTGGTACAAAGCATGGCTCCTGCTGGATGTAGCTCATTTGGTTCAGTCTGGTCTCTGGTGTATTGTGCTAGCTTTTTAACCAGTTAGTTCAAGTCCCAAAGGAAAAGTCCTCCTCATACTCCTCAGGGCTCTGGGACAAGGAGTCAGAACAGTCTTTTATGGATTTTAATACCTGTCAAGTTCCTGCATTACCTACAACTATATATAACGTATTACATTAATTAATCACACATGCACATGCATATGTTATTTTTCTCAAAGTGGCCACAGTAATGCTTTGTTAGTTTTACTCCCTTCTGCGTCTCATACCCACATCAGACCTTTAAATCGAGCCCTAGGATTGCAGCTACATTACAGGACAATAAAGACTCATACAAACATTTAATTTGGCCCAAATTGGCGAGCTTCCTGCCTGCCCACCTGCCCACGTACCTTCCTGCACACATTCTGCCAGTGCACTCATTGTTCTTTGGAGGAGTCTTCCACAAATTGCTAGTTTAACAGCTGTCAGTACCAACAATAGACATCTCCGTTATTTGTGTTCATAATGATAATTGTCGGCCAGTGGCTTTGGAGCGATGTCTAAAGCCTGAATGAAGCCTGTTTCAGCGTTGCTGACTTGACGACTTTCTTCTTTAATTTAGCTACTTTCAGAGGTAGGGCTGACCGTATTAGCCAAAGACACGAGTCTCCCAAAGTCTCAAACCCAAACTGTTGTACAACTGGTTTAGACTGAACAGGGACAAGTTTGCTTCCATGAAATTAAGCTCACAAGTAAATGAAAGCTTGTTAAGGATTGTGAGGTACCTTGTTGATTCTCTCGTGGCAATAAAATGTAATGTTTGTACCTGGATTAGGGTTGGAATAAAGTTTAAATTCAGAAAAATCTGGCATATCCTTTTCAATAAAAACTTTTTTCTTGGTTTTAGGGGTTCAGCCAATCCTCACTCTCGAGCGCCATTTTATGTTTTACCCATTTTGGCTTCAGAGCCTATAAAGCTGGCAATCATTTCCTCCTGGGTTCAGTAGGATCCACCAAGGCCAAGAAATGTGCAGAGCATTACATTTTTCCTTTAAAACTTTTCTCAGAATTACAGAGATAAAACTTTTTTATCCGGTGTCTCCATAACTACCCAATCCAGATTTAAGCAAGTTTAAACTAAGAATATTGAGGCACATAATATCCTGTGATAAAATTATGACAGATAGGTTCCCCTGATGTCTGAAATAGCACTGATTTCTAAATGCAACAGCCTAAAGCGATATTGGTAGCCTCCTCTGATACCTTCCCTTCAAACCAATGTTCACACCATTCATTCTGGTGCAACACCATGTGAGTGTGTGATTCTAATAATTAAGCAAAATCTAAAAATGTTCTCCCGTTATCTTATACTATATGGTCCAAAAGTGAAGGCCTATTTGCGATATTATTTGCTTAAGAATTATTATTTAAGAACTTTTTTTCTAACGAGATGTTATTGTCATACACATGCGTGGTATTCTGCACTCTCCTCTGCATTGTGAGCGACGATAGTCACAACAACCAAGAATAGGACACAAGCCGTCTCCCAGCTGTTTTCTTGGAGTGTTTTCAATCAGTGAAGTTTCTCCTGCGAGGTGGTTCTTACGGAGTTCACACTGACGCCAACTGACAGTGTGGATCCAATTTGCTCTCAGCATCTCCTTTAGCAGCAAGTTTGTGTTGACATACAACCCTGACTCCCATTTCCCCCAAATTATGCTCACAGTAAAACAGTGATTTTAGCAAAAATTACAAGCAACAGAAGGATCAAGCGGGGATTTACACAATCCGATCATCAAGTTTCACCTCTACATTCTGCTTACAGGATATGTGGTGGAATCATTTCTCAAATCCACACAATCACACAAAATATACAATCTTGTGCTAGAGTCAATGTAAGAAAAAAAAACAATAGTGTTAATTGGCATCACAGTTCCATCATGTGCAAGGAGTCAAGACCCGTCCTGACACCTGTGTCTCACCTGTTTCACCTTGTTGTTCACAGAACCTGCTGTTCCAATCTCGACTCCCCCACTCCTTTCTTCCTCTGCGTCTGTCTACAACACTTCCTCTTCTTTCGGCAGCCTTTGTTTCACTCTGTCCATTGATTTACCCCAAAGCCAGACCAGCTGGCTTCGGGATGCTTCCTTCGGAGACCTAAGAGGCCTGTCTTTGCTGTTCCTCGGGTCGTCCCTTGGTCTCTCTGAAGGCGGAGAGTAAGGGGGGGGGGGGGGGGGTGAAAGGGAGGTCCTCCGAAGGGCATAGACATGTCAAGGATTGGTTGTGTGACGGGGCTGGGCTTCGCTCTTTGGGAAAACCCCGGCTGTGAATTCTAACTCCCGAAAGTGGGGAATATTTTTTTTGTTCCTCACACCAAAGTGGGAGGGAAAATATTTTTATATCCTGGGTTATAGGCCAGGAAACCCTTCAGAACGCCAAGGGAAACTTACGTGGATTGCGTCGTTTTGAAACATTAACCAACTACCAGGGGAGTAAAATGCTTTTTTTAACCAAAAGGTGAAATCTAGTGTGATGACACAAAAGTGAGGCCTTTCACCAGGTTTCCTGGCACCTACGGGTTGTTCACAGAGCCTTTGATGCCTGACAGCTGGCATTTCCAACATTGCAGCAGACCACAAATAGACCCAGACACTCTTTCTCTCCAATTAAAAAAAAGGAACTAAAACAGTCGTCTCATGCAGCAAGCTTTATTAGGCTATATAAGTCAAGTTTGATCTATCATACGATAGCGGGGAAAGAAATCGTTTTTTATTTTGGAAATGAGAAAAGCACAAACAGATCACGGAGTCACACAACTTGAGACAGCAGTCTGACCACCGAGCTCTGAAATAACATTTCATTATCTGAAGCTCATTAAAACAGGCTTTCTGAAAAGCTCTCAACACTTCTCACCAATCTCTGGTCTGCCACACAATACGCGTTCAGTCCGGAGACAAACACTACCAACAAATGCCAATCTGCCAAATGGGACTTTTCAGATAACGACTATGAAATATAAAGTACCCACTACTTTGCATTGTGAGTTCCTTACAAGAGCTCCAGTTAATAAAACAGATCTGCAAAGTAGTGGTCAAAATAAATTAATACAAAAGTATGCGTTATTATAGTCTGAGGGGAACACAGCAATAAGTTGGATGATCACGATCAACATCTAAAAATACTCCATGTCTCACCTTTTGGATCTCGCCTCCCTTTGTCCACTGTAATTAAAAGCAATCGCATAGAATAGCATTCGACTGTTAATGTGAGCGAATGACACTCGAAATGAAATGAAATCCCTCATGTTGTCAGTTCGCTGAGGAAAGTGGCGCAGATGACACAGAGCTATGAGATCTCCAGTGAATGTGGGTCAGAAGAGTGTCCAGTTATAAAAATGTCCTTTACAAACCAAGGCAATGCAGTTTTGGTGTATTTGTTATTCAGGTTTAATGACGGACGAGACTTCTCAAATGTTCTGTGAGGTCTTTCATCTTGTTTATATCTCACTTCTGTACAACTTTGACACGGCGCGGTAGGTTTTGTTGAGCGTCTGAACTCTTCCCGAGGCAGAGGAGACAGCACAAAAGGTCCTTATGATGAGTTGATGATCTCTCTTGAGATTACGAATCTCTTGGGTTTCATAAAGTAGTCTTCTCTGTTTGTCGCATGCTGAATGCTCATCATCTGCAAGGTGGAGTGGATGGCTTGATGAGCCCCTTTTCTCTCCTGCAGATGTACAGAGATCTGCTCTTTAATTATCTCCAATATTCACACCAGCCTATAGCTCCATTTATAAAACGTAGTCTCCGCCGTGCTGAGCTCATTAAAGATTGAACAAGGTCAGGAATGAAACTGCTCTTACCATTATTCATTTTGTCCCTAATTTCAAGTATTATTTAATTAATCACCTGAAATGGCTCGAATAATTCAAAATGTCATAAGTTCCAGGGAGATATTAAAGGTTTTCATATACTTACAAACACACATTTCTTTTGTGAGCGAAATGGAACAGCGGCATCGGTAATGTCTGTGATTTCACTCATTAACAATGAACAACAGCAAAAAGAACATTCATGATGCATTTTCTGGCTTTTTAGGGATAAAATGTTGATGTTCTATGAGCCATAAGGATCATTATGCATTTCACTGTCGGCCAATTTCACAGATTTTGTGACGATGATTGCATCATAGGCAAAAACCTCGTTGTGTGTGAGTGTGTGTGTTGGTGTGTGTGTGTGCGTGTGATTTTTTGACAACCCTCAAAGCCAGTCAGCAGGTGCCATCACTTCTCATTCCCACCCTTTACAGTGTAAAGACATGCTGAGGACGAGCAGGATCAAGGGAGACTGCCAAAGGAAATGTGTGGGAGTACACTCTATAATTTCTGCTTCTCAGCCAGTTCTTCTTGGCATTTTAGCAGCTATTCCACATAAAGCTAATGCTACCATAATTCAGTTTGTCAGACTATGGGGCATTAAAGCTAAATCTATTTGAATATACTGTCACTGTTCACCTGTAGGCGGCATTTAGAAGAAGCGAGGTGTTCTTCACTGTAATCCAAATGATGCTTTTTTTTTTTTTCCACTGTTGACCTTTTTAACTGATCGTTGGCACACTGATGAAACCGAACAGAAAGTACAGTGGTTCCAATTATTTTCAAAACACACAACTATTAAATCCTCCCAATTACTATTATGCTGCTGGCTTTTAGAGACGAGCACAATATAAAATGCATATTCCCTCACAAAGCTCTGTCACTGCCCGGTTGAAAGCAACCCTATCACACAATTGTAGGTAGTAGGAACCCGGTTCCCTCACTAAGCATTATGACTCACAGCGGCGCGTAGAGCTGCTATCCCACTCTAATCCACAAGAGATAATTTGGTATTCATGTTTTACAAATGTGCTTGAGAAAAATCCCTAAATCTTTTTGGCAAGTGCAGTCGAGAAAGTCGCGCAAGCATGTCATCCGCCATGAAAAGGCAGCGGGACGGAGGAAAGCGGGGCTTTGTCTCCTGACTTCAGCCTGCCAGACACGGCCCATCATCAGCTTTCATTGTAGCAGACTTTGTCTTTCCAGTAGTTGGTTTTCTCAAAAGGTAAACAGAGGCTTGACTCAGTGGGGCACCTGCAGTTTCCCTTCCAACAGGTAATATATTTGCACGTCAGGCCTGCTCGTCACAGATTAAACATGCTTTGTGTGGGATGATTTATGGGTGCGATGTTGCGCTAGGTGCACTTGGCTGTGAGGTGCTGAGGGTTTGATGGCTCCGAGGGGGTAGAAGGTGGGGCGGTGGGCGTCAGGTTTGACTTACAGGAAGACTGATCTGTAGCAGCTCCGAGGGTGCCCACTGCAACACACTCCTCAGTCATTAATCACTCACAGACTCGGAGCGCGGAGAGCTTTGTCTTCTCCTGCTCTTCACACGAGCGCTACACGCTGTCACCATCCTGAGAAAAAAAGCTTCAGAACAACTATCAAGGAGCAAGAGAAACCGCTGGTGCCTTTTTGAAACTACGGGGCGTGTGTGTATTCCCACGGAGAAGTTGCAACACAAAGGAGGACGCCCCACTCATAGTGTCTGCAGTCAAGAGAGGAAAAAGAAAAAGCTAAAACAGATCCTAATCCTACACTTGGACAAGTTGCACAAGTATGCTATGGTCTTTATCTAGACATTGTCTTACTGTAGTGCCAACGTTTGCCTTTTGCTCTTCCCAACCCTTCCTTCATAGGTTATCTTAATATACAGGATCAAGATCATTCACCACCCTTACTAAGTAACGGCTGAGTCAGCAAGCAGCGCAGCTAAAAGCATGTTGATTTATAATCCAGAAAGAACGGCTGACCGTTGATGCCCCGCTTCCTACTGATCCCACACACTGCTTCCTGTCTGAAGTAATTCACCGAAGGAGTAGTATTACATTACATAGTACGCAAGTGTGACAGGGGGACTCTTACCTAGCGAACGTCCAGAAAATAAAATGATGGACTCCTGGTTGTTTGCCATCACTTCATCATTTCATCCTATAAGTTATTCGTGTTTTGTTAAGCCCTGCAATGGTGAAGTGCAGCCCTTTCAAACAGTCAACTCCGTCTTTGTCTCTCCGTGATTGTTGCCTTGAATCAAAACTCTATCAACATTAGTCCTTGTCTAACGCAAAAAAACATTCCTAGTTTTCATGGAGTTAGTAGGAAGTGGTAGCGATATGTGGCAGGAAGTAAAGACATAAAAGAGATAAAACTGTTACTGGTTACAGTGATGCCACTAAATTCTAAGTCCTGATCAAATAAATACTTTAGTTAAGCATTAAAGGACAACCTACAAGTTATCTGGTACACTCTGATCCAAAGCATCTTGAACCCTTTTTTTTCTCTGCCTTCCAGTGTGTCCTCTGCTCCCTGAATCTGTGACATTTTTACTTCAAAATATAATATATTTTCCTCACACAGAAATATGCGCTCAAATATGCGTTTCTGCACTAGTCATCTCATAAACAGTTCATTTCTAAATGTAAAACTAGGTGGTCAGGAAAGGGAATAACGATCTGTCAAAACAGCGCTCAGGTCCACAAAGCGGGCTTTCAGTGCGGAGGGGCCGGTATGTAAAGTATATAATTGCGCGCACTGTTTAACATTTATTACATTCAGTACACCATTGCGGTTTGTTTGTCGTAACATACCGGGCAAACAGAGTTAATGTGTGCCTTAGCAAATATTTGCAGCACTATATCAAATTCAGCTGCCGAATTAGGATATCAGAGAGGCCAAACAGGGTCGTGTTTGAAATAACAGAGTCGTTGGGGCATCCGCTGCTCCGCACACAGATTGCCCTATCACACGAGTTGCTGAAGTGTTTGCACACAGAGCTTTGCCGCCGGCAGGCTTACATATCACACTGTGCCTTATTAAGAGCTTTAACAAAATCTGGCTTTCACCACCCCCCCCCCCCCCCAAACTCAGCCACCAGTCCGAGGGCAGCCGTCTTCTTCAGGACCTCGGTTTGTACGCAGCCCCGAATAAACAGCGAGTCTTCTAAACGGTTTGGGGGCAGTGTGCGTGTGCTCGACAGATAAAAGGCGGCAATGCAGATGTTATTGCGCCGCTGAATAACTCATGGCAGAAACGGTCTGAAGGGATATGTTTTTTTCCCTTTAACTGGTGTAGGAGA